TTTTTTTTTTTTTTTTCTTTTTTTCGAAGATTGCGCGCGAGCATTCCCGTCGATTGCTCGTAACGAGCGTTGTTTTCATCGTTGTCCGCTATCGTAATCGTATGATGCACACACTCGGTTGGAAGAAGTTGAAACGCGACGACGAACACGGGCAATGAAAAATCTTTTCCCGCGAGCTTGCCAAGCGTATTCGAATATTTGGACGCGACACGACGCAAGATTCGAAACGAACAGTAAGCGGAAATACCCATGCGTCGGAGAATATTCACGCGTAGCCGTGCAGTCGACCATGTTCGTTGTTTTTTTTTTTTTCTCTTTCATTTTGCGTTTCGACAGAGGATGCAGCATAAGTAGCAACGATTTTGCATGCCCGATCGATCAATATTTTTGACGCACGATAAATTGTATTGTAAGAACGTGGAAAGGGATCGAATCGAAATTTCGTCGACACGTGAAAATAGGGCGGGCTAAAGAAGTAGATATATGCGTACTTATCCCCTTTAGAGAACCGGACGCGAGAGAGACAGGGATGAGAGCGCGAGAGGCTCTACGTGGGTCGAGATACATACACAGCCCGGAACAAAAAGATAGTACACTCTATATTTTCTTATATTATGTATTGTAAAGTAAAGAGACTGTGTAGATTATTACATCAGTATTCTTGTAATATGCCACCGAGATGAGACAAGCAATTTTAATACAGAAAGGCACAAACGTAAATATAAATATTGTCCGCAATTACGAGCCGGACAAGTTAGAACAAATCGAATATTTACACTCCTCAGTCGTACAGAAGCTATCGTAACAGAAAGCGTAACATTCGTGTAAAAGACAGCGAGTTAAATGCGTATCGACGTAAGTAAATTTCTAAAAATCGGTCGCCGGTAAAAGTTACGTGCATCTGAAATACGCGCGACATTGAAATTAAACGAAGGAACATTATTCCGTGACAGAAATAACTAAAACAGTTGATAGAAGTCGTAAAGTGATGACGAATTTACTGAAAGATTCCGATAATTATGGAAAAAGAAAAAGTCGTGGACGACCGCTGTGTCTAACAGCTCGGGATGAACGTGCTATAAATACGTGTAGCGTCAAATTCAAGCTTGATCGCGGGACAAATTACGAAGAAAGCCGATGTTACGACAAATGTTACGAATGTTTGACGTTTTCTAAGGAATTCTGGATAACTGAAACGACGAAAATTACAACAAATTCTTCAATCATCTAGATACAATTCGAAAACCAAGGTATATAGGATGAGTTTTTTATTTGTTTTAGCATATGTAGACTTACCACCTAAAGTTTAGACGTGCATTTATAAATCACCCCGTATATATTTGTATGTATAGAAGAAAGAAGGAAGGATTCTTGGGTACGCGAGAACTGTATGCACGGGATCTCCCGCAGCGGGTGCACGCTCGTTCATGAAACGGAAGCCTATTTCTTCGACAACGTTGAACTCTGCTACTCGTGACTGTGTACGTACATATTTAACTGGTCTTTGCGACGATATTAGTATTTCTTTTGCGAGAATCGTCGAGTCCAAGAGCGTCGTTTGGAAAGTCTGATGACTTTTAGCGGATGCGTAAAATAGCCGCGATCGTTCGACCGGAAAATCGGTGAGCCGAGAGGCTCGAAGGGCGAGACAGAAAGTAAGAAAGAGTGGCGAAGGTTTTAGCTGATAGGGAAATTTCCAGTCGGATAGCCGACTAACCATCGCGAGTAGTGTCGAGAACAAGAAGGAACAGTAGTATATAGAAGGGTAAGAGCCAGCGAGGGTGAGGAGAGTTTTGATCGATGGCCCGTGTCGAGAAGGGCGAACGAGAGTCGATTTGGCAGTGGCAAAATATCGCGTAGAAAATTGACGCCGCACACGATTACCGAGTCACAGTAATACACAATTGACTTTTGAACAACGCGTGAGTTGGGCGGGGGGGAGAGGACAACAAACATCCCCTATATAGTCGAAAATCTGCGTATAATTTTTGATACTCCAAAAAGATAATATACGTTATTATTGAATGGAAGCTTTATTTCATATACGTTAGAGGAAAGAAAATATTAATTATTATGATATATTCATATTATTTATACATACATATATTATATTTACAGATACGTTAGCAACGGGTGATTTTTTTCTTATATCTAACTATCTGGTTTATTAGAAAGTCACGGTTACTGATATTCCTTCGCGAAAACTCCTGCAATATTGACTGAGAAATATATCCAAGTCCGCGTTGTTCGTGGATCCATTGTATGTCGCGAGCGTTAATGTAGAT